AGAACTCCCTCAGTAAGCAAAAATTAATTACAAATATATGAAATTGTTTTGCAGAACTCCCTCAGTTTGTCTGTCACTATGTTTATTTATTTATGAAATTGTTTTGTATTGCACAGATATTTTGCCGAGCTTCAAAGAGTGAATCCCAACACAACTGTAGATTGGGAATTTCAGGGTGGTGATGTGGCGCGACACGTTCTAGACAGAGAATTCAAATTTGTGTTCTGGGCATTTGGTCCCGCGATTCGAACCTTCGAAATGTGCCCGCCGGTTATTAGCGTCGATAGCACATATTTACGTGGACATTACAAAGGGAAATTACTCGTGGCCGTAGCATAGACTGCGAATAAGCGGCTATTGCAAATCGCGTATGCGCTTGTCGACGAAGAAAGCACGGACAGTTGGTCATTTTTCCTTAGGAATCTGCGGCGATATGTTGTATTCGACAAACAGATATGCGTTCTTTCTGACAGGGATGTGGGTCTACGCAGTGCAATTGAATCATTACCGGATTGGCAAGAACCCGCTGCGTATCACTGGATTTGCCTTCGACACCTTCGAAGCAACGTGGTGACTCGGTTCAGGAGTAAGAAAATCCGGGATTTGTGTTGGGAGTTGGGTTTGCAGTTGTCGAAGCAAAAGTTTCGACAGACAAAACAGTGACTTCAAGAATTTAATCCCGACACATACAGTTATCTCTTCAAAATTCCTTTGAACCAGTGGACCCTGTATCGAGATGAAAAACGTAGATGGGGCACCTTGACAACGAATATGTCGGAGAGTTACAACAATGTCCTGAAAGTGGTTAGGTTCCTGCCGTACAGAGCTTTGGTAGAGACCACATTTCAAAAAACTCTGGATTTGTTTCGACAAGAAAAAAAACAAGTCCAGCAGATGCAGGAGTCCCATTGCTAGGGAGCACTATGTCGCATTTTTGCAGTTGGAGCAAACAGGCGCAACTCACGAGGTGGAATGTACGGACTACGACAGATCCATGTACGCGGTGACAACCGGTCTACGTGCTAGTGGAAAAGGGCAAAACAAGTAAGTATATGTTTTTTTTTTTTTGTTGTTCATTCATTTTGTTTTTATTTTGTATATATATAAATCAATGTGGAAATACAGGTATAAAGTAGATTACCCCGCAAAACGTTGTACTTGTCAAAAATGGCAGACGCATAGAAAACCGTGTTCTCATGCAATAGCCGTCTGTCGTAGAATTGCGGGTGACCCAAAGCTGCTGTACGATGAACACTTCTGGACGTCGACCTGGGTAGCTCAATTTACTAATTGGAGTTTTACTTCAATTAGTAATCCGGATACATGGCCGCCGGTGGGATGGAATTTGATTCCACACTGGGAGAGGATCATCTTGAAGCCTGGACCCGGTCGCAAGCAAACGAGACGCTACCGCATGCAAATGGATCATCGGGCACGACGCAGAAATAAGAGGGGACATTGTACTAGATGCGGTGATCCAGAGCATGTTGTGGATGAGTGTTCGTCCTCACATCCTCGTAGCGATAGGTATAGACTTCGTGATGTGTGGGGAGATTAGATTTTTTATTGTTTATTTGGATTTGTTTGGATTGTTCATTTGGATTTGGTTGGACTATTTATTTTGTTTTGTTTGTATGATTTATTTTGACTTTGTTGGTTTGTTCATTTTGATTTAGTTGGTTGTTTGGAATATGCATAGAAAAGTGTTAAAGGTCGAAAAATGACAAAATCGAGCTGCAGATGGGTCACACGACTTGTGTGAGTAGGTGACACGAGTCGTGTGGCTACAACAGAATGCAGATTTACCTACGGCTTTTTCACACGGATCGTGTGTCATGTGACACGGGTCGTGTGACGTCACACGACTCGTGTGAGTCGGTCGTGTGAGTCTGGGAGTTTTTTTTTTATATTCATACAACGGATTCCCGAAATCTGTTTTTAGGGGAATTATTTATAAAACGGATTATGGGAATCCGTTTTTAAAAAAAAAAATAAATGGTAGAGGCTCTCAGATTGGGGACTCGAACTCGGGTCAATGGGTGAGTCCGGTTTCTCTGGGCGCACCTCGTACCATTGTGCCGGCAGACACTTTTTGGTTTTTTTGTACAAATTATATACATATTCATACTAGTATTTATAATAATATGATTTAATATATATTATATGATATGACATAATATATAATATATAATATAATATACTATATATTATAATATACTATACTATATATTATTAATAAAATTGAAGTCAAATTAGTACAATTAAAGTCAAATTAGTGCAATTGAAGTCAAATTAGTACAATTGAACTCGAATTCGTACAATTGAGTCGAATTAGTACAACTGAAGTCGAATTAGTACAATTGAAGTCAAATTAATACAATTGAAGTCAAATTCGTACAATTGAAGTCAAATTAGTACAATTGAAGTCAAATTAATACAATTGTGTTGTAAATATTAATTTGTGGACATTACCTAGAAATAGGATTTGTAGGTATGGGCCAGGAGCCATTAGGTCTTTACTCATGTACATTTATTCCCTTATACATAGAGCTCAAGTGAATGAATAAGATGATGACTTTACGGCGTATCTCTTCTCTCTCTTTCTCTTTTACTACTTTCTCTCTTTGTCTATCTTGTCTATCTTACATATTGACAATCTAGATTACAACACGTTATCAGCACGAGTACTCTACCATCTAAGCTTACAGCATTGACATCAAGACGAACGGACAATCAAAGTACCAATCAAGAATAGATGTATGCCTTAGAAAGAATCGTGTCTTTTCTGTCAAGGTAAC